CTGTGCTCGCTTCTTTCTTTTGTATCTCAAAAGAGATTGGCTTAAGACACTATTTCATCTTGTTGATCTCATCAATATAACTACCACTAATCCATCTCATTACATCATAGTTGTAGGATTTACAACACATAGGGAAATCACATCAGAAGACAGAATAGTAGAAAATCATGCAATACTGGGAATCATGACCTAGCCAAGTTGACAGACACTTTTTGGGGACACAATTCAATCTATGACATCTACATTAAAAAAGAAGAAAAATCTCAAATCAATAGCCCAAGTCTACAACTGAGGACCTAAAAAAAGAAGACGAAACAGCCTAAAGCTACGAGAAGAAAGAAATAACAAAGATCAGAGCAGAAATAAGTGAAATAGAGAATTAAAAAACAATAGAGAATGAACAAAACCAGAAGTTGGTTCTTTGAAAAGATAAATAAAATCGACAAACCTTTAGCTAGGCTGACAAAGAGAAAGGGAAGATGCAAATAACTAAAATAAATGAAAGTGGAGACAATAAAGCTAACCCAAACTTAGGTGAAATGGACGTCACAGTACCACAAACTGACAGGTTGGGGGTAGAAACACATAATCTGTCTAAATTGACTCGAGAAGAAATAAAAAATCTCAATAGATCCATAAAAAGAGAAGAGATTGAATCAGTTATCAAAGACTCCCCACCCCCCCACCAAAAAAAAAAAAAAAAAAAAACTGAGACCAGATGGTTTCACTGAGGAATTCTACAAGATATGTAAAAAAGAATTGACACCAATCCTTTGCAAACTCTTCCAAAAAATAGAAGAGGAGGGAATATTTCCTAACTCATTCTATGAGGCTAGTATTATTCTGATATCAAAGCCAAACAAATACATCAGAAGAAAACAAAACTACAGACCAATATCTCTTGTGAATATAAGTGCAAAATTCCTCAACAAAATATTAGCAATCCAAATCCAACATCATATTAAAAGAATTATACACCATAACCAAATTGGATTTATTCCAGGAATGCATGGGTGGTTCAATATTAGAAAATCAATCAATGTAATATATCACATTATTAGAGCAAAGGAAAGGAACCACGTCATTATCTCAGTCTATGCAGAAAAGGCATTTGATAAAATCCAGCATCCTTTGATGGTAAAAACACTTAACAAGCTAGAAGTAGAAGGGAAATTCCTCAGTATGATTAAGGGCATGTCATAGATTGAATTGTGTCCCCCCAGAATATCTGTCAACTTGGCTAGGCCATGATTCCCAGTGTTGTGTGATTTTCCACCATTTGGTCATCTGATGTGATTTTCCTATGTGTTGTAAATCCTACCTCTATGATGTTTACGAGGTGGGTTTAGCAGCAGTCCTCCAGAGCCCACAGACAAAGAAAGCCTTCCCCTGGAGCTGATGCCCTGAATTTCGACTTGTAGCCTACTAGACCATGAGAGAATAAATTTCTCTTTGTTAAAGCCATCCACTTGTGGTATTTCTGTTATAGCAGCACTAGATAACTAAAGGAGGACACTTACGAAAAACACAGTGTCAGTATCATACTCAGTGGAGAAAGGTTGAGAGCTTTCCCCTTAAGTTTGGGAAGAAGTCAAGGATGCCCACTCTCACCACTGCTAGTCAATACTGTACTGAAAGTCCAAGCCAGAGCAATAAGCCAAGAAAAAGAAGTAAAAGGTGTCCAAATTGAAAGGAAGATGTAAAACTATCCCTTTTTGTAGATGACATGATCCCAAAGAACTCACAAGGAAGCTTCTAGAGTTAATAGAGGAATCACAAGGAAGCTTCTAGAGTTAATAGAGGAATTCAGCAAAGTTTCAGGGTACAAGGTCAACACGCAAAAATCAGTTGAGTTCCTGTACATCAGCAACAAGCAATTTGAAAAGGAAATTAAGAAAACAATTCCATTTATAATAGCATCTACAAGATTAAATAGCCAGCAATAAATTTAACCAGGAATGTGAAAGACTTATACAATGAATATTGTAAAACATCGTTGGAAGAGATTAAAGAACACCTAAATAAATGGAATGACGTTCAGTGTTCATGGACTGGAAGACTTAACATTGTTAATTTGTCAGTACTACCCCAGCAATCTATAGATCCAGTACAGTTCTGATAAAAATTTGAATAGCTTTCTTTGCATAAGTGGAAAAAGTAGTCCTCAGATTTGAAAGAGATCCATATTTGTGCCCATTCCAAAGAAAGGTGATTCAGTGCAATATGGAAAGTATCGAACAATATCATTAATATCACACACAAGTAAAATTTTGCTGAAGATCATTCAAAAGCGGCTGCACATTGACAGAGAACTGCCAGAAATTCAAGCCAGATTCAGAAGACGATGTGGAAGGAGGGCTATCATTGCTCAAGTCAGATGGATCTTGGCTAAAATCAGAGAATACTAGAAAGATGTTTACCTGTGTTTTATTGACTGTGCAAAGGCGTTCGACAAATTATGGATAACATTGGGAAGAATGGGAATTTCAGAACACTTAATTGTGCTCGTGAGCAACCTGTACATAGACCAAGAGGCAGTTGTTCGAACAGAACAGTGGGATACTGTGTGGTTCAAAATGAGGAAAAGTGTGTGTCAGGGTTGTATCCTTTCGCCATATTTATTCAATCTATATGCTAAGCAAATTATCCAAGAAGGTGGACTATATGAAGAAGAACACAGCATTAATATTGGAGGAAAACTCATTAACAACCCTCAATATGCAGATGACACAGGCTTGCTTAATGAAAGAGAAGATGACTTGAAGCACTTACTGATGAAGATCAAAGACTATAGCCTTCAGCATGTATTACACCTCAACATAAAGAAAACAGAGATCCTCACAACTGGACCAATAAGCAACATCATGATAAATGGAGAAAAGATTGAAATTCTCAAGGATTTTATTTTACTTGGATCCACAACACCCATGGAAGCAGCAGTCAAGATATCAAATGATGTATTGCATTGGGCAAATCTGCTGCAAAAGACCTCTTTAAATAAAGTGTTAAAAAGCGAAGATGTCACTTTGAGGATGAAAGTGCACCATGGTGTTTTCCATCGGTTAATATGCATGTGAAAGCTGGACAGTGAATGAGGAAGACTGAAGAAGAATTGATGCCTTTGAATTATGGTGTTGGTGAAGAATATTGAATGTATCACAGACTGCCAGAGAATGAATAAATTGGTCTTGGAAGAAGTACAGCCAGAGTGCTCCTTGGAAGTGAGAATGGTGAGCCTTCGTTTCATGTACTTTGGACCTGTTATCAGGAGGGATCAGTCCCTGGAGAAGGACATCATGCTTGGTAAAATAGAGGGTCAGCGAAAGAGGAAGACCCTCAACAAGATGGATTGACATAGT